TTTTTGACCTCTTTTGTCTTTTGTTGTCCCGAAAAAGAGAAGCGAGTCTAAGGGTTGATGCAATTGGGGGAACAATGACAGGAAGCGAGAGATGGGAATAAAGTTAGCAACAGAGTTGGTTAGGCGCGTGTGTGTGAAGCTCGGGGGGAAGAGAAGACGTGTGGCAGACTACCCGACTTCCTCTGCAGAGAGACTAAGACTAAAAAACTAACAAGGTGATCCTGTATCCTGCCCTTTCAATCACATTGCTCAATACATGGTTCTTGGCACTGCAGTAATTCTCTCTGTGCATTGATGTACGACCGCACATGCTTTTTACTCTGCCTGGAAGTCTGGCTATTCAAAACATCTATGTCCGTAGACTTTTACCTGTAGATGTCAAACAGTTCCTTGTGCACACTAGTTCCTTTCAAACATACCATAGTTTTAAATCTCTAAATTAGCCATGGTTGGACACTTCTCACAGTGCAATTTAAAGCCACCATTTTGGATCAGTGCCCAAAGATTTTACCACATTTGTCACTTTGTCAACTTTTACCCTGGACGGGCCAAATTTGCACAGTTTGTCGTGCCTTTAAGCAAACACTCATACATGTGGCTTACCCTGACCACTTCTCTGTTCCTCTCCTCTGTCAGCACGGTGCTAAGTGAGCAGCGGGCAGTCTGAGTTTACCTTATTAATTAGCCCAGTGATCCAGAAACACGCTCCCTTTGGTAAATGGAACAACACTGAAAGGTTACTGAGGACCAGGTGGAGGCGGGAAAGAAAATAAGAGTGTGCGCCAGAGTGAAGGAAAGAAGAGAAGTGGAAAGGGAGGAATAGAAAGTTGGATGGGGGACATTTTAAGGGCGTTTTAAGTTTGCTTTAGAGAGCTGTCATGAGTAGATGTGATCACAGAGTCTGGGAGGAAATCCGACGCAGTGGCTTGTAATCCCCACAGAATTTAGAACTTCTGTGACCATCAGTCAACACTATCTGTCTATTCTCATCACCGCCTTCATTTACTTTATAATTCTGATTTAGGTGGGATCATGTTGTGTTCTTGATTTATTACTTTTTGTAGACTACAGACAGATTAAGGCCAAATAAAAGTCAGAAACAGAGATTGATCTCAGCTTACCAAATCTTGAATTCATTGTCTAACATTGCTTTGTAAAGGTCACCTAAGTGTTATGAAAAGGGGATAAATCACTGCTGTAGACTTGATAGATTCTTGATCTGTCTCATCTTAGTCGTTTAAAGGTCCACGGCCAAATGGCCATCCCAGATATGCTTTACACCTTTCCACTTGGCTTGAAATGAATTCAAATTTCAAACCAAAATTCAAAGCAGACCTTTATTAGACAAATAGACATGCCTGAAATCACTTTTATGAATCCCTTCCAACTATTTTCAGTAACTCCACTCCTCCATTTTGAGCCATTATTCTGTCCTGAGGTCTGCAGTTCAAGGCCATACAAGGAAAACTAAGAGTCGGAGCACAGTGAAAAGAATTACATTAGCAGTACGGACTTTTCCCTTGGCTACGAGTTCAAAGAAGGGCAGGGAGAATGTGGCTTTCATTAGGTATTGTTGGTTTAACCAGGTGAGAGGTCCCTTTGTATGTTCAAGGAAAGTACACCTTACAGAAGTTACTCTTAAATAGACTCCTGATTCTAATCTATGTTTTCATGAAGTAAAACTTTGACATGTACTGTATCCTATATGTATCTCCAGAGTAGGAAATGTCCTCTGGGTGTGTGTGTGCATGTATTTTGAGACTGTACGACTTGATGTCTCACTCTTATATATTAAAGTGACCAGGGAAACTTTTTAAAAGGGATTTACTGCCTTTCTACAACCCACCCCAGTGGAGTACAATTCCTTGCCAGTAACTCGAGTTCATTTGTGCTTCCCATTACCACTAATTATAACATTCTGCAGATTTTCCTTTGATGACAAAACAGGCTAAAATAATGATAGCAACAAGCCCCTCTGGCCAGATTGCTTAAGTCGCTGTGCAGTTGTCTGGCGTGCTGATGACCTGATTGGCCATGGTGAAGAGGGACCTCGAGCTCATTTCCTGTTCCTCGGTGCCATCTGGGGGGTAAATTAAGGCAGTATTCTTTGTAGTAGTGACATGAATACCATCTTTGATGCACTCAGAAAATATTTTTAAAGTCTTTTTAGCTTTTAGTTTGAGATATTAAAGCAGAACATTAACTACCTATGTCTTCTGTGGAAGGAGGTTTGTCTGAAAAATGCTGATCCATGGTGGGGTCCAATTGTTTGTGTCCTTTGTCTGTGGTGGAGTCTGGCTGTTTGTTAATGGCACCACAGTAAAGTGAATGTCTGCCACTGAAAATACCTCCATAGGGAATCTAAGTGAAAGAAGTCTGCTTTGAAACTGGTTTGCATGTTGTCTTTGTTAAAAATTTGGTATTTGCTGTGTGGAGTGTTACAGCTGCTTGTTTTCCCATTTCATCCTCATGGTTGTATTCATTTAAAAAAAATGTCACTGGTCTGACCTGGTCTAAGCACTTTGGAAAACATGGGGTGAGGTGTTTAATTAGCAGCTAGATCCAAATCTAAAAACATTACTATTCCTTTGGCCAAGTTTTGCTAAATGCGGTCCTCGAGGCACCTGTCTTTAAAATGTGATCTGTATCTGGGCACATTACCTCGATAAGGAAAATTGCATGACAGGTGTAACTGCATACTGAATGCATTGGGGATGGAATGTGATCGGGTTAGCTAGCCCATGTTTATAGGAGGTCAGGCTTACATTGGGATCGGATCTCAGTCTGGTGTAAATACAAGCCATAGAGTGGGACCACATTCTTAAGAAAAACATCCGCCCAGCAAGTTGAAAGGTCACCTACCACCTCTTCCTGCTAACTAAGATGACCTCTTCTGCAGCAGTAGCATTGCTTCCCTGGACCGGAGACTTGCCAGCCCCATTTAACTAATGGGCATGTTGAGATCTGATCACAAGCAAATTAACAAGAATACATTTTAATACCAGGTTTTACCAAGTTGATTTTTTGGAGCTACAAGGTCGTTGCAGATTTGAGGACATCACAGGATGTGCTGGCCATCTGTCCCTCTGGATTCTCTCCATATACACTAGTTTCTGTCTCCTCCTACCCCCTTTAGCCCATATCATTTATCTCCTGCAGCCCTGCTGCGATCATGTGGCCATATCCAAGGGTCTTACTTCCTCTTCTTCCCTTCTCTTCCCCTCTACCCGGGGCATCTGCTGCTCCCAGCATACCAAACACTCCCCCACCACTCCCAGGAGGAGCTGATGAGAAGTCCAGATAAATGCTGAGCAGCTGAAGACTTCATGTGCAGTATGCCATATGTGTGTGTGTGTTGGTCAAACCTGCCAGTATCGGAATGCCTGATTGCACAATCCAATCCTTAAGAATGTGTCATTGTGTGCATGCAGGGATAGCTGGTGTGGCCTAGTGTGTGTTGGAGTTCTTTCTTGGTTGATCTTACTTGACTGAATGGATTTTTGCTCATATAGCTTCATGCATTTAGATTTAAATGAAAAATGTTGTTGAACAATCATTGGGAGCACTTGGGGATTTACTTTGGTTCAAGCTGACATCTTTTTCGGATCTGGTTTGGGTTCAATCAGAAATTCATCATGATCACTTTTAGCCATGCAGGAATTTACAGGTGTGTTTCAATCTGTAGTCTAAATGTTTATTTCTTCCGTATGTCAAAAGCTGTCTGTGTGTGACACATCTGGATTAGAACCAGAAGTAAGACATCTGAAAGGAATATGAAAACAAAGAGCTAAAAGTATTAAGTTCACTTAAAGTGGTTTTGACATTTTTAATGTTTTCAGCGGCCCAGCACTCAAGGTGTGTGCTGTTGCTAGAGGAAGAAAAGATGTCAACCTTTGCTCAGAAGTCTCAACAGATCTGTTTTTGGTTGGCTGACATGAAAACAATCTTGATTTATCTCCCTCTTTTTGTTTTTCAGCCCTGCAAGGCCCTTTCGGTTCCCCAAAAGGTAAGACCTGCCAAAAACTGCTTTTCTCTGTTGATATTCTGGATTGCATCTTTGCCTCCCTTTGTTCCTGTCATCCATCCATCACTGCTCCTGTGAAGCCATCGTTCCTCAGCAGTGAGTCATGAGAGTTATCAATGGGAGTTAGGTGTCTCTCTCTGTAACTGGCCCCTGTTAACCAGCAGCTTCTCATCTCTCCATCACACTGAAGTAAACACTGCAATCCAGAAATCTGCTTAATGGAAGATTAAGGCTTTTTCATGGCTTTCAGAGAGAATTAGGGTTGAAAAATCACCAGTATGCTGAGTTTTTCATAAAGATGGAGACTCTCAGGATCAAAACCCGAGACTACTCCAAATTATGCAAAAACAAAGTGGATTAGTTTGTATTTGATATTGCGTGTTTTCTTTACATCTACTTTTTTCTGCCTGTTTTGTCATTACTGTTTTCACCAAGTCTCTTTCTTCCTCCAGCTATGCCGAGTTGATAGCTGATTGGCCAGTGGTGGTGCTGGGCGTGTGCACAGTGCTAATTGTGGTGTGTGCTCTAGTGGGCATCCTAGTGCCTGACCTGCCTGACTTCTCTGACCCACTGCTGGTGAGTATTTATGCTGCTGTCCTATCTGGATAGAGATGATCATGAACTTGCCTGCAACCAAAAGCTACCAGACTTTGGTTGCAGCCTCCTCCCAGACCTGAAACACTGAGAATGTGTGGTCTGTGGAATTAACAAGGAGAATAAAACAGCTTCAGCCCAAAAGCTTTTTAAAAATATTAGTGTATCGAGAAAGAAATTACATTTCTGAGGCAGAGGTATGGTAGAGGTTGGTATAAGCCAACTTGAGCAGCATGATATTCCAGTGTAATTTATATTTTCTTCAATCACTGAGCATGTGATTTTCAAGGTAAATAAATAGCTATTATATGAACTTGCATGACTGTGCTAACGTTTTGTCTTGAACTTTATCGTAGAAGTGGCCTGCGTTCATACGCTCAAAACCTTTGTTCTTCTTTCTCTTCTCAAAGGGTTTTGAGCCACGGGGAACAGCCATTGGCCAACGACTGGTCACATGGAACAACATGGTGAAGAACACAGGCTACAAAGCCACACTGGCCAACTACCCCTTCAAATATGCTGACGAGCAGGCCAAAAAGTAACTTCACACACAGCTCTTACACTATCTACATATTTGGCTTTCTTCAGTTATTTGTGAAAGCATTTATGGCAGACAGACAGAGGCTGGCAGCTGGTGTATAGCCCACAGAGGTGTAATATATTTTATTTCTATCTGCAGAAGACTTTTGTTCCATATTTCTAAAGTCTAACTATTTAAGATGAGTCTCTCTCACTGAAGACTGTGGGATGGGGGTGGGAGGCAGGGGTAGTGAGGGGAGGAGGGGCCCAGAGGAGCTGAAGAGAACTGTTGAATGACATGCTGAAAAGTCTGAGCCTCCTCCTGAAAGAAAAGGGGAGTAAAGTAGAGTTCTGTCCATCCATGAGGTCACCCTGTGTCTCCTGTTAGCGGGATTCTCTTCACTAATCAAGAGCAGGTCTTTGCACGTCGCAGTCTGTCTGGTCTCTGTCTCTGTGTGGCTGTGTTCACTCTGCAGGTTTTCATGCTCGGGTCCAAATAGCTGCTGATATCTGATGTTTTTTTGGTTTGTTGTTAGTTTTTTAATTTTTCTGCTTATATATAACCACTATTGATGCCAACATATTTTGGTTATTTTTGTCTTTATGCTTAGATTGAATTTATGCACATCTCCAGCTACTAATTTGTCACTTATTGAGATTTTAATTGCTGTTTTACCTTATTACACAGACGCCTAAACCATAAAATGATATTGGCATTGCAGTGAAGTCATACCCCTCTGAATCTGATTTTGTATTCTATATCCATTTGGTTTATGATATGAATATCTAAAAGTTGCAACTTGACTCTGCTGATTACAAAATGGATCCTTTCAACTGCAGCCTGGATCTTTATCTCTGTCTCTTGCTGTGTCTGTGGCTGCCTTTGTCTTCTGCTCTGCCTTGCTCCATGTATCTGTCTGCAGGTGTAATTGTGTATTTATGTGCGTATTTTGCATATGAGAGGCCTCTGCTGCTGTCAGCAAGCTTCCCTGCCTCATCCCCTCTGTCTGTCAACCCTTCAGTCTCTCTGATAGCCACCTGATTACTCTGCCTTCCTGAGGATGTAGTCCCTAAAATACACGTATACACAGAAAGGTAGCCTGTCTGAACCGTAATCCTCAATTGCTCACTGTCATGTAGGAACTCTACTACTTTCCTAATGTTAAGAAATGGCTGTATTCTTTCTAGAACACACACTCACTCACTCCAGAGACACATGCACATCACTCCTTCAGGACTCTGTGCTCAATCAGAGCCACTATTATGGTTATTATAATAATGACACCATCTGATTTTGGATGAACAGCAATTACGGCTGCTTATTTCATTACTGTGCATCAAACCTGCTTCCTCCATTTTGTATCATTTTGATTCTGATCACTGGTCGGTTTTCTAAATCACCAAACAGGTTCTGTCTGGGTTTGGAGCGATTATTAGCTATAGCCTTGTATCCTTACTAGGGAGTGTTTCTGTCTCAGTTTCTGATCATGTATCAAATATTAAGAGAAGTATTCAAACAATATTAACAATATTAAGTATTCAAACAATATAACAAGAGTCCTGTGAAGCTCAAACAATAAATAGAGACAAGACTGGACTACAGGACTCATTCAGAAGCAGTACCAAGACTCTTAGCAAAATAGATCCACAATGTTGTTGTTTTTAAAGAATCTTTTTTACAGATTTTCATAGTGGCTGATTTAATAAGACGTACATCTAAGTTATGTTCACTGTGCCCCACTTTGTTTAATGGTTGTAGTCACCAAGAGACCAGGTGGCCAGAAGACCACTTTGACCGAGACAAACGGCAAGCAGAGTGGGACTTTAGTAAAGAGTTCTTCTGTGACGTGCCAGGTGAGATTTCACATTGTACCGATCCAGTGAAAGATGACTCCCAGATGGTTTTGGGTAGCTTTTTTATGTGTATGTAGCGTGGCTTCAGAAAGTATTCACTTTACATACACTCTGTGTTGTAGATTTAATTTTAAATAAATAGAACTGCCATCTTTGCCTGTCAGTATAAACACAGTAACCCATAATGTCAAAGTGATAAACAGGGCCTCTCTGTATTTAGAATCTTATTTACATAGCACATTTGACATAGTTACAAAGTGCTATACAATAAAAGAAAAAATAAAAGTAATAAAATCAAGAACATAAATCTAAAATGATAAAAACTTGAAAATGTTTTTCTTTATGCAGGTGATAGTTACTCTAGACTGGTGTTCACATCAGCTGAGGGGAAGAGCCTGTGGAGTATTCAGGCCATTAAATCAATGTGCAATCTGGACAACACAAGGGTACGTATGTGGAACAGAACAAGCTTTGGTCATGGACAGGACTGTAATGACAGCTGTAGCATCAGTAGCTTAGTCAAACATATAATAAAAGCTAGGGATGGGCAATGATTTTCCAATATTCAAAGTCATTTAATTAAGAACATAAGTGTTTCATGTGACTATGGTTTTGTCTTTAAAAACAAAGAGCCAGTATTTTCCCTTGTTTTTACTCCCGCATGGAAATAACACAATAATAAGGTGAATATATCATTTTACCACAGCGCCAAATACAAACAGCAGAGACTAGAGCCGTCAAGAAAAACAGCCATGTCACAAGGGCTGAAAAGGTGTCTGACCACAGATACTGTACATGGACAGTGCTTACAACTGGGTCGTATGTGATGGTCACCTGCCATTATATAAGCAAATGGAAAATACAGAGTGCTGTTCTTTGTCTAAAGCAGTCCCAGATACCCGGTGAAGGTGCTTTCCACCACCCTGGAACAGTGGGGACTTGCAGATAAACTCGCAGCATGCATATATATGACAATGTTAGCAATATGGAGCGAGAGAGGGGTCAGGGTGGGATCTTCGAATAGTTGTCAAATAGTTCCCAGCAAATATTGAATAGCATTTTAGCTTGAAATGCCCATCCCTAATAAAAGCTGTTCATTTTCTGTCTCTTTCAGACTTATCTCTCAGCTGTTTTTAATCCACCTGTGTTTTCGTAATTTGTCTCTGTCTCTAGGTACGTTCCCACCATGATTATTGGAGTCTTTGTCAACGCACTAACGACGCTTCCTGTTGCCCCAGCTGGACACTTGGGAACTACATTGCTGTCCTTACCAACAGGTCGTCCTGCCAGAAGATCACAGAGCGTGATGTATCACACACACTCAAGACCCTGCGCTTGTGTGCCAAGTACTACCACAACGGCACACTGGGACCCGACTGCTGGGACATGGCCCTGCGACGGAAAGACCAGCTTAAGTGTGCCACTGTGCCCCGGAAGTGCACTAAGTACAACGCTGTCTACCAAATCCTTCACTTCCTGGTGGACAAGGACTTCCTCAGTCCCAAGAGCCTGGACATTCTTCCCCCTATGCTCAAATACAGCATGCTCTTCTCCCCCACAGAGAAAGGAGAGACTATGATGAACATTTACATGGACAATTTTGAGAAGTGGAATTCATCAGACGGTGTCACCACAATCACAGGGATCGAGTTTGGCATCAAACATGACCTATTTCAGGACTACCTCCTCACAGACACAGTGTACCCCGCCATAGCCATAGTGATTGTCCTGCTGGTCATGTGTGTGTACACGCGCTCAGTTTTCATCACACTAATGACAATAATAGCCATCATCAGCTCACTGATTGTGTCTTACTTTCTCTATCGAATGGTCTTCAACTTTGAGTTCTTCCCCTTCATGAATCTCACGGCCCTCATCATCCTGGTAGGCATCGGTGCGGATGATGCCTTTGTGCTTTGTGATGTGTGGAACTACACCAAGTTTGACAAACCTCATGCTGAGCTAGCAGAAACAGTCAGTGTGACCCTACAACACGCTGCCCTGTCTATGTTTGTCACCAGCTTCACCACTGCTGCAGCTTTTTATGCCAACTACGTCAGCAACATCACCGCCATACGCTGTTTTGGCATCTACGCTGGGACTGCCATTTTGGTCAACTATATTCTGATGGTGACATGGCTCCCAGCTGTGGTGGTGTTACATGAACGCTACCTCCCTAACATGTTCTCGTGCGCCAAACTTCCCCACCAGCCGAGAGGTTTCTGCACCCGGATGTTCTGGGCAGGTCTTTGTCAGAAGGCCAACAAATGCCTGTTTACTGTCTCGGAGGCATCTAGGATCTTCTTTGATAAGGTGCTACCCTGCATTGTCATCAAGCTGCGCTACCTGTGGCTCTTCTGGTTTCTTGCCATCACAGTGGGAGGGGCCTACATTGTTTGCGTCAACCCAAAGATGAAGCTCCCGTCTCTGGAGCTGGCAGAGTTTCAGGTGTTCCGATCCTCTCACCCTTTCGAGCGCTATGATGCAGAGTACAAGAAACTTTTCATGTTCGAGAGGGTTCATCATGGTGAGGACCTTCACATGCCTATAACTATCATTTGGGGGGTAACCCCTGTGGATAATGGGGACCCCCTGAATCCTAAAAACAAGGGAAAGCTAATGCTGGATAGGAGTTTCAACATTTCCAGTCCAGCCTCTCAGCTGTGGATCCTCAACTTCTGCCAGAAGCTGAGGAACCAGAGTTTTGTTTTTCAGTCAGAGGAGCAGGACTTCACCAGCTGCTTCATTGAAACATTCAAACAGGTCAGTACTGCAGGAAGTATACATAAGCACTGAAGTATAAAAGAAATTTGATGTCAGAAATTGAATGTGACCCAATGGAAAAATAAATTTAGACCCTTTTTTAATGCTTTAATACCAACTTTTTTTAACCTGATTTGAACAGTGGATGGAGAACCAGGACTGCGTAGAGGGCTCCGTCTACCCCTGCTGCAGTCAGTCCACCTTCCCTTACAAGCCTGATGTCTTTGAGCTGTGCATAAAGAGAGCCATCATGGAGTTGGATCGGAGTACTACCTATCATCTGGACAGCAAGACCCCTGGGCCTCGTTTCGATATTAATGACACCATCAGAGCCATAGTTTTAGAGTTCCAGAGTACATATCTGTTCACACTGGCCTATGAGAAGATGTTCCAGTTCTACCGTGAGGTAGGGCCCACCTGCACACATTATTTCCATAAGATGTAATATTTATAGTTTTTGATGATACCTGTATGTACAAGAACAAGATCAGTTTTGTTTCTGCTTTAATTCTCCTCATATTTATGGTTGTGATTCTGTTTGAGGTGGATGCCTGGATCACAGATGAGCTGCACTACGCCCCAGCAGGCCTGAGTCATGGCTGGTTCATCAGCAACCTGGAATTCTATGACCTGCAGGACAGTTTGTCAGATGGCACTCTGGTTGCCATGGCACTTTCGGTGGCTGTAGCTTTCAGTGTCATGCTCCTGACCACCTGGAATGTCATCATCAGCCTGTACGCCATCTTGTCGATTGCTGGGACCATATTTGTCACAGTCGGCTCCCTGGTGCTTTTGGGCTGGGAGCTGAATGTATTGGAGTCTGTTACCATTTCTGTGGCAGTGGGGCTGTCAGTGGACTTTGCGGTCCACTATGGTGTGGCCTACCGGCTTGCCCCGGATTCCGACCGAGAGGGAAAGGTGATTTTCTCCCTCAGCCGCATGGGGTCTGCGATTGCTATGGCTGCACTGACCACCTTTGTTGCCGGCGCCATGATGATGCCCTCAACTGTATTAGCCTACACCCAGCTGGGCACGTTCATGATGCTGATCATGTGTATCAGCTGGGCCTTTGCTACCTTCTTCTTTCAGTGCATGTGCTGCTGCCTGGGACCCCAGGGCACCTGTGGCCAGATACCCCTGCCAAAAAAACTGCAGTGTCAGGCCTTCACTGAGGCCACATTCACAAACCCCTCATCTCAAGGGAAAACACAGGGGAAGTACCAGCTGGACAGCAGGGGTGGGGAGGTGGAGCATTACGAGTTAGAGCCATTGGCTTCCATTCAGAAAACTGAAGATAACCCTCGAGAGGAAGTTTGTACTCAGCTTTACAATGGAATCCCCCCTCTCCACCACACTGGCCCTTATTCACACATCCATTATAAGAGCAAAAGTGAGACTGGAAGAGCTGGCCCTGAGAACGGGCTTGTAGCCACACTGAGCACGCCATCCAAGTGCCAGTACTCTCAAAACACTAACTGCACATGTGGGGACCCCCCTCCTCCTCCTTCGCACCTCCCTCAGCAGTGGAACCCCCACTCGTGCACTCAGTCCCCCCAGGACTCCCCCTCCTGTCCTTCCACCCATCAGCTCTTTCCCCTCTCGAGAAATACCCAGAGCAAACAAAATAGTTCCCTTTTACTGTCACACCTGGACCCAGTGTACACACACATGGAATGCCATATGCACTATGTCCACTGTCCCCCTGCCCATTTCCACCACTGTTCCCAGGGAAGAGTAATGGCCACCAGGCAAGGTCCTATACACAGCTGCCATCTCAGGAAGTACTGCGCACATACGGCAAACCTGCAGGCTGGTTCAGCCAGAGAACAGAGATCCACAGCCCCAGCCCCAGCTCCAGTCTCTGGCTCAGAGTCTGTGGGACAAGAGAATGATCACAGACCCAAAATGAATCATTTAAGTCCTGACAGTAGCCAAAATATCAGCGCCCCAACACAACCTGACACTCAGTGCCCTTCATCACACACAACCTGTCATGAAAGACAGAAGGTGAGGGACAGAGACCATTGTTGTGGTGAAAACCATGTATCCACCACAACCACACAAACAGCAGCGCAAATGGATGCTTGTAAAATCCCTGGCAACCAGGAGAAGCTTGATGGTATTCCTGTCACATGGGAGGAAAGTGTCAAAAAGTGCCCACTCTCCAAAAGAGAGCGGGCATCATCCAGCTCTCCAAAGAAACTCTACTGTTTCAACAGGACGTTGAAAGTGAAGTGCAATTCAGCTTCAGAGTTTAACATGCCAAAAAGTGAAACCAGTGTGCCTCCTATTGCGGTAAACACTAATCCCTCCTCTGAAAGCTTATGTTGATAATAAAATATCTTAACAAAACGCATCCCAGAGCAAATAGCAAATTCCCCCTCCAAAAAAAGGAATGACACACACAATGTGTCTGTGCAATTAAACAATGTTTGGGATGTGTTTGCTGCCCAAGTGCCTCCCTGTATTTCATAAAACAACACGGATTCTGTTTATATTTTTCTTTTTGTACACGCCGCTTCTTCACCTGCCAGATTGTTTGATTTTACAGTGGAACGCACACTATGGATAAAGATATATTATCATGAGAAATGAGTGGTTTCTCACAAAAACACCTCCATGAAATTTTGCTAAGTGTTAAATCTACAGCAGCCATTTGCACCACCTGAAATCCTACAGTAAATATTGTGATATTGTATTTAATTATCAATACAAGTTGTCAGATATCAACTTTAACAAAAATGTGCCAGATTTTATAGGCTGATTTAAAAAGATCTGCCTGACAGTTTTGTATTTGTGGGAGCTAGTGTTGAATTCTGTTTGGTCTTGTGTCCAGGTTGCCACATGCCTCAGATAACAGGTGTACTGTACTATTAAAATGTCTTTTTTATCACCATTGTCCCGTTTTCTCCCACTGTCTGCTCTTTCTATCTTGTATATGCAGTACACATACTCAGTCCATGAAATGAAGTGAAGCTCAGTTCAACAAAAAACATATTTAATTGTGACTGTACGCCTGTTTTATTATCTCCTATCAGTATTATCTGTTACATCTGGCCAGAGGTCATTGACAGGATTTGGACTGGGCAGCTGTCTGTGCTCTTGTAGTTTGATTTAACCAAGAATAATAGGCCGGATCTTATTACTAATTTTGATACAGATCTAATCTTCTCAAGGAACAGGCGAAATAGGTTGTCACAGAAAACCCTCGGGTTGTGTGGCTCATTAGAAGCATTACATGAAATGAAAGAAGTGCTCTAAACTTTGAGGCCTGCTGAGACAGACAGCTTTAATTACAGGGAGACAACACTGGCACAAGAAAGCAACCCAGCTGCCAGCAGCAGCAGTTTTGCTTGTCTGTTAAATAGATACTGTACATTTTGAATGAGTTTGTATTTGGTAATATTTCCAGGGCAGCACTGGAACAAACTCTGCTCCGTGATCTGCTTGTTTTAAAACCTGTTTATAGCTGCAGCTTGTACATTAGCCTTCAAACAATTTGAGATTATGAAAGGAGAGCAGAGGATTTTCATATGCAGTGTTAAAGCAACTGTAATTCCTATTTTTTTACAATATCAGATCAAATTGCTAATTTATGTGAACTGTGGCAGCTTGTGATGAATCTATTGAGAATTATCACCTGAATATGAAGCAGCCTCCCATCAGGTGACTTAGAAGCTTGATTTCATATGAATGCTACTGTCTTACTATTTGTGTAAATAGATAATTTGCTCATATGTTCATAGTTTATTTCTGCTGCCTCCAAGTGGCTAAAAACCTGTTACTGCAGTCGCCCTGTTTGACCAGTCCTCAACTGTGGAGCTCCACTGGTACAGCTGGAGGCTAAGTATTATGCTCATTAGCTACCTGGTAGTGGTTTCCTGTTTTTCAAAAAGCAGATGGCAGAAAACACCTGTTTCCTCAGAGGTCAGTTGAGAAAAGAGGCAGTCATCCTTTCTTTCTGCTCCTTGTCTTTCCTCTGATGTGGAACGTGGAGTCCAAGCTGCTCTCAGAAAGATAGCCACAGAGATCTGTCAGTGGATGTGTGAATTCACACTGAGACCCCAAGCTTAAGTTAGTGATCTTTATATGGCTTTTTCCCTTTACTGAGGCTTTAGATCAAAGCCAAGCAGGAAATTAATTTATATTAATATTTCACTGATGATGTGGAATTTCAGAGACTATCTTCTCACTATCTTCGAGGTTTGCTTTGACAGTTCGAATTTAGTGCTTTAGTTTGTGTCCCAGACACTTTTCACATTGAGGTTGCAGAAGGGGGCTTCTCTGGAAGCACATTTAAGTTATCACATAGTAATAGTTTCAACATGAATTGCTAGTTTCCACCACAAGCCTGGCTCAGAAAAGTGGCTGGAAAATCGATGGATGATGAAGAAAAAGCTCCACTATGCTTTTGCTGGTTCTTTCCTTCCAACTCTGTCATATGTGCCTTAACCCAGAAACAAACTTGCACAAACAAACAAGCCCTATAAAATATGTTACATAAGTAAACCACCCACTCAGGGCTTGTGTGTTGAAGGAAAGATCTTATTAACACAGCTAACTTTGTGTTCCCTTCAGCCTCAGATTCTCGACAGCCACCTTTATTCTCCTCCTCTGCTCAATCACTAGATGAACACACTTCTAGAGGATCCCTCGTCAGGCTTGCACGAGCATCCTTGTAATTATATTTGCTTAAACAGAGGTCAAATATTAGTCTATGGCCATGGGGCGTGGTCTGTTACATGTCCCTGCAAGGGACAATCTCATAAGTAAGTGTGTCTGTTCTAAGTATATTCTGCAGGCCTGAAATAACTGAAGAGGCTTCAGAGCTGGAGAGCTTGTTTACAAGGTAAACATTTGCTTCCACTTTTCAAATTAGATTTTGGTGGAGGCACTGGACTGGACCAGATTTATGGGAGTGAAACAGGTCTCTTCTTTCTCTTTGGATCAGTGGAGGAGCTGAGTTATGTTTTAGTCAACATTAAGTCTTTTCTCACTTCTGCTCCCTAAAGTTCCATTCAGATTCTGTATGTCTTACAAAATATTACTATTTTTACGGCTGAGGTATCTTTCAAAGCTGAATTCCATTATATTGCTCATGATATATATATAAAAGTAAAATGAACAGACTATAAAGAAACCATCTTTGCAAGTCAAAAGTTCGTGTTTATTTAATCTGTTCCTCCTAAACATTGTGCTGTGTTAATGGGCCTCATTATTCCATCTACAAGTCATAAGAAACGCAGTACATGGAAGAAGGTAAGTAAACTTTGTACAAGTGTCAGTTCTCTGCACAGCCTTTGAGCCTGAAACAAGTTATTGATGATTGTCTTTAAACAAAAGCTACTGTTGATCAGTGATCTGAGAAGTACTCAGATCTCTTGGCAATACTACGAGGTAGAAATACTCTGTTACCAGTGTAATGTTTACTTAATGTAAAGGTATTAGCACCAAAATATACTTGTGTAGAAAATGGCACAATAATGTATATTATATTGTTGTATTATAATTATTAATGTGTTATTGTGTTCATCACCTGAAAGTAAAAAAAAAAACAAAAACATGAGAGTTTTAAAATGGTACTTAGAACTCAAGACTCTTTTAGGGGCTCTCAGGTCTCAGACAATAGCAACTACATTTTACATTCTAATAGAAACACTTGAAAAAAAAACCCCAGAAATTTCAGCTTAAACAACTACGTAATAAAAGCAGGCTGGACAGATGTTAATGTTATGCTGTGTTTAGATTAATGGACTGTCCATAGTGTATAAGCTGCAGACAGGCTGTAATGTTCAGAGCAGCTGGCTCATAAAGACAGCGAGGAAGCAGGCAGTTGGGGCCAACAGGACGGAAGTTTTCCTCTGCCCGGTAGCTTCCTGTTTTTAGACACACAGCTCAAATGAAGAGAAAGTGACTGACCTTAGATTCACTCTTATCTTACAGTCCAACAAACCCCGGGGCACAGGGAGATATCATTTGTAGATGCTGCTGAGATGAAATAGTCACTATGTGTCACACCCAGAGCAATTATACACAGCCTTCATGTGGTGATCACTAAACTCTCACTAATTATCACTTGGGGTTTTCACTGATCGCTCAAGATGCACATGGGCAGCCAGTACAGAAACAGCTACCACACAGCATCTAGTGGTGAAAGGAGTATATACAATTCCAAAGGGCACCTCCATCATTTTCTCTTCCATGATTAGGCATCTGAACAGTCAGCCCCTGATTTTTCCTTTTGTGGTTGTATTTCTGGAATGTTTGTAATTAAATTTGAGGATTGGACTTTCTGATGGTGACAATTCTGATCAGGCAGAGAATTTTTGGAACCAAACCTTGAATACAAATTTTACAAGTGTTTTGTAGAAGTATAACATATTGAATAATTAATCATACCCCCAAAAATATATTCTTATATGATGTTATTGTTTCATGTAAACATTAAATACTCCCAATGCACATGAATGGACAAGATGCAAGGTGAACATTTATTTCTAAAAGGCTTCTTCAGTAATTAATAATAAACACTTGATTTGAAAAAACACTTTGTGGTAGGAGTGATACACTAGAAAAAAATTAACAGTTCTGCAAGCAAACCCCTCATGCATTATACAGATAATAAAATGTACAGCAGCTTCTAACACACTGACAAACCAAACTTTTTAGCATGCGCTATCAACACACCCATGTTCAGGCCTGTCTGGAGCTGCAGTTACACAACAGTGATAACAGACTTCCTCTCTTCCAACTTTCAAAACCGTGCAGTGGATTTGCTTCATCCTTCGAACAAAAGGCTGAACAGTGCTGCATTTGCACCAACATTTCACATTAGCGAGAACAGATCACCAGTAAATGTTTATCATTTACGCTTGACTAATTTGACAGTTACTGCTACTCTAAAAACACAATCATTTGTTTGAACCGTACATATCATTAGGTCATGGAGTGCTGTACAGTATACCATAACTTCTTCCTCACCCTGCTAAGGAGCCTGAGAACTACTGTATCATGCTGGTGACCTTTCAGCGGGTTGGAAGGTGCAATGAGAAGGTTTTCCCAGCTACAGAAGGGATTTTTGAACATACAGTCTGAATTCACATGGCAATTGCTCTGATGTCCTCTAGCTGGATGCCGTCATCACGTTGAGGTTGAATGTCAGGCTGCGCAGACTCAGGTTTGTCCCCTGCTAACCAATTGACCTTGGTGTCTTTGAGTATCTGTGAGATGAGTCGCTCATAAAACCAGTCTAGGTCCTGAGGGTCCTCTGGCCAGATGAGGTACTCTCTTCTCTTGACAAAATCTCTGAGTGCGTTGTACTTCATCAGCTGGTAGGGGGCCACCTTTGGATGTATGTCATCAGAATGGAGATTTAGGTCAGCAGTGAAGGTGACGAACTGATATGTCTCTGTTGTAATTCATGTAATAATTGCATACCACCATTTTTTGCAAAGTTAATATAAATCTGTATGAAGCCTGACACCTAGTGGTGAACATTAGGTAGGCTACTGAATGTCCACTGATCTTTGGTGCTCCTTGTTCTCTACAAAGTCCCCTGGCACAAAAGACCCACCAATAACAGATGGAACATTTGGTACCTGTTTTCACTCTTTACAAAACTTTGGGTTTGGTTACTTTAAAACACCCAGAATCAGTAATTTTATATTAACAAGAGCTCCTGACTACTTGTATGTAAAACTGGTGAAAAACCTGCAGAGAATTATCACCAAACTGCTGCTCCTCCAGGTCTACTGAGAGTTTTAGCATTCTTCAGCTCATTGTTTTGGCCTTCTGGCCCACAGATTTTGTTTTGTTTCCCTAACTATGTTCTGAGTGTTGTTTTTGGTAGTATAATGAATCACACGCACAGACTACAGACAATGGCCAACTGGCATGTACTTTCTGCACCTGCGTGAGAGAAATAACTCCCCCTACCAGCAGGTGGCGGTATCTGTATGCACCATTCAGACAGGGAAAGAGCACCTCTTGCTCAACACAGCTGCTGTTTATAGATTTTTCTAAACAAGAATATGTCTGATAAGAAGTTGTAAATGACACTGCCGTTCTCTGCCCCTGGTCTTTTGGTTGTGGTAGAAGAAAGGAAGCGGTGGAGGCGAAAAACAAGGAGAAATCAAACTAAATGTTTGAAATGGACACTACAGTTACAGGCTTAAAGGACTTTCTGTTCTTGACTAGTGCCAATGGTGTGGGACACATCGGGAAGACAAGCACCAACAGATGCTCACCAACTGTCAACTTGGTGTGTCTCTACCCTAATACACACCTTCCCTACCACCATCATAATCAAGACGTTTGTAAGCTCCTCTAACATCCGGCCCTGGGCCAAGGTGAACGCCTCCAAGCACCAGCCATCTAGAAAGAGACACATCTTGGTTAGTTTTGTTCACACTTTGATTTTTATAGTTCAATATTTGGGCAAATGGGTTTATTCAATTTGATGCTTAGAGTAAGGTGAGAAGACTGATGCTAAGCTGGTGTTTTAGCTTCATATTAAATGGACAGGTGTGAAAGTGCTATCAGTCTAATTATCAGGAAAGAGGATTAGTTAATTTCCTAAAATGATGAACTGTCCCTTGAAAAAAATGCCAAAAATTAAGCAGACATGGTGTAACAAAACTTGTACAGTACCTTTAAGAAACTCCTTGGAGATGATGCACACAGTCTTCCTGCTGCCCCAGATGGCATCTCTGATGTTTGAAAGATGATCCTCGCCTGGTAAGAAGTCTCTGGCCTCGAAACAACAGTGGAACATGTTCTTCTCTGAAAACTGGTTATCAAGCTTCTTCAGCAAAGCAGCCTCCACCCACCCATAGTCACTGTTGCTGAAGCAGAGGAAAGCATCATACTGCACCTCTTCCACAGGAGGTGGTGGCTTTGGGCCCTCGAGAACTCTGGCAGTGATTCTTTTGTAAACAAAGAATATGTACCCTCGAAGATGGGCGTAAACAATCCCACCGAGGATGAGAGTGATGAGGAAGAGGGCAGAAAAGATGAAGAGAGCAAACCTAAGATCCTGGATGGCCTTTTCATCATCTTCCTCACATGGTTCAAAATTTGTGAAGTAATCCAGCAGAGGAAGAGTATGAAGAGCAGCTGGAAACTCACAAGTGTACTCCTCTACTGGGCTCAAGAAGGTTACATTTGTCACATTTAGCCACACAAGGAAGCTCTCCAGATTGCAATCGCAGAGAAACCGATTTGCCCTCAGGCTGAGATTCCAGAGAGACAGAAAGGTTGCAGGATCTGGGGAGGCTAGGAAGTTGTTTGAGAGGTCGAGTATTTTCAGACTGACTGGAAAGACATTTGGCTGCAAATGCGTCAAGGCGTTAGATGAGAGGTCGATAAATATGATCGAACTGAGACCGCTGAAAATCCCTTGTGGGAGAGTCATGAGAGAATTTAAGCTTATAGTTAGACTGCGAAGATTGTTGAGATGATCAAAGAGGTCAAGGCATTTCCCCTGTGCCCAAATGATCTGCAAGGAAGTGTCATGAAGATCCAGCACTTGTATACTATTATTATAAGGTACTGTAACATCTGGACTGCACCACTTGATGAAGTTGCCACCGTAGTAGAAATATATGAGATGCTTGAAGCCATTCATTATGGAATAAACATCGTTCAAGTTAGTTAATCTGTTGTCTGTAACATCAACATAGATGCTATTCATACCCAGTTTATCAATGTCAATTACTGATTTCAACTTATTGTCATCCAAAAGGAGATATTGTAAGCTTGGTAAAGGTTCAGGAAAACCCAGGTCTCGCAGTGAATTTCCTGTTAGATATAACATTTGTAATTTGGGTAAATCACTGAAAGCTTTGTATCCTAATACACCAATGTGGTTGGAGGTCAAATCCAAAATCAGAAGGTTTGTCAGACCAGAGAATGTATGAGAATATATTTCTCCCAGGAGGTTGTACGACAGGTTGAGCAATAGTAAATGTCCCTGAAGGCCATCGAAGGCATTTCTGTTAATCTGATTGATTTTGTTTCTGGAAATGTCAATAATTGTCACATTATTAAGGGGTCTAAAAACAGCCTTCTGCAAAGCAAATATACAGTTGTTAGACAGATCTAAAGAATTAACTGCACTATTTGTGAGGCCTTCAAATGTGCTTTCATCTGGGTCGGGAAGGTTGGCATGTGAAAATCCTCTACCTAAATGTCCAGAGAATATAAGATGAGAAATCTGAGTGCCATCTATTAATTTGAAAAACTCTGTTGTTGTGTTCATGCTGAAACCATTAGTGGATAGGTCAAGGATTTCAAAGGTCATTCCTGTGAAAGGGTTCCTGCAGTTTTTCCCATCAAAATCTTTTTCAAACATTCGACTTAAGCTGTTGGATTCTAAGTTCAGGATCCTGAAGGTTTTCCCCCTGAAACCAATAAGGTCTTCTTCACATAATCTTTCAATCTGATTCAGTTTTAGGTTTAACTCTGTAAAATTTCTGAGTTTTGAAAAGAACAGTCCAGGTCGCAGATTCACTATTTTGTTTGCGAAGAGATTAAGTTTTTCTAAGGACAAAAGTGGTTCCAGATAGCTTTCTGACAGTATGGAGTCTGTCAAACTGCAATAAAGCAAAATGAGGTTCTGTAAATTGAACAGCCCTGCAAATGCCCTTGGCTCCAGCTGAAGACCAAGATTGTTGTCTAGAACCAACCGTGTCAGGTTTCTCTGCCTGAGGAAAGCATTGTTCCTTATGACCAAGTGCACTTTCTGTGCACCAAGATCTAGCTCTTGCAGCTGGTCATAGTCCCTGAGTGAGGTACTGTTGATCTCACTAATGTAGTTTTCCCTCAGGTAGAGGCTGGTGATGCTGGGAGGCAGAATAGGTACCCAGTAGTGTTGCTGAAAGTCACAGTAGGCTACACGGCCATTCAATATACATGATGGGTAGCATGTGGCTACCTGCAGGAAGGAAAGTTACATTACTTTTGTAAATTGAAAAATAATTACAATAGAATTTTTTTCAATGTAGATCTGCTTGTTCACTTTCTTGCAGAGAGTTAGATGAACAGACGGATCCACTTTAATGTCTGAACAGTGAATATGGAGCTGGAACCAGCAGCCAGTTACAGTAGCTTAGCTTAGCATAAAGACTCAAAACAAGGCAAAGAGCATTATTTACATGCTTCTTAATATACAGTAAATATGAAAACCAAAGTTTGCAACATATAACACATTTTCTAGTGAGTGTTTGAAGTGCTTATTGGAAACTGGAAACTATGGCTCATGTTTGTTTGCTTCTAAGTAGGTTTATTCCCTTCTTTTTTTTTCTAAATGCACATTTTTTCTTGTTCTCTTGTTCCTTCGCTGCCTTATGAAAGTACATTGCTGATGCACATTGAGAGCCACTGTACCAGAGTCAAATTCCACATGTTCAACACACCTGGCCAGTAAAGCTGATTCTGATTCTAATGGCGATTGTCTTTGTAGAGGAGGTGCAATAAAGTTGGACTTAAATGGAAAAATACTGTATATGTGAATATATTTTGTCAATCTGCTCCATATCAGCTTGAGTTTGTTAAATAAAATATTTTGAAAAAAAAAGATCTATGTTCATCTGACTCTGCAAGAAAGTGAATAAACATATTTTTGATTTTGAATAAGCACATTTCCCAAAATGTCTAGCTGTTTCTTTAATTCTTGTCAGGGAGGAATCTGAATCTCAGATTAGTCTTAGATTTCTTTAAACTTCATTTGTGAAAAACAAAATACAACTGATCTGTTTTGAGCTTGATGTTATACACATACCTGTAGATATAAACCAGTGAAAGCCAACTGAAGAGCCAGTGTCCACATACTGTCCTCGTCCTAACAAAATGTCCACAAAAAAAAAAAAGTAAAAGTTAGTGAAGGTTAGTTCCATTGGCCTGGCAATGCAAATATTAGTGAGGACAGGCAGGTATGTGAGCATTTATTGTAGGAAAGAGGGGAAACTGTCAGAATGTTTGCTTTTTCAGGTTCATGGTCCACTGGTGCAGCTTCAGTGTCACACTGCTCAGCACACAACCATTCGTCCCTGGTATTAGCTTTTGTAATAAAGCTCCATTTGAATGTGTTTGCCTTGAGATAATAACTGGAATGTGTCATAGTGTAGTGAATATTATTGCTGGTGCACCTGTCACACTACATGCTATTATATTAATGTTTGTGCCTTTTAATGTACTTCACCTTCTTATTCAATTCATCGTAAATATTTAAGCAAAGGGACATTAAATGATTAATTTTATATCTCGCATATTAAAGAGGCACCACTGATTTCACACATAAAGGCCAGTTTATGCCATACAGCCTGTTCAAACAAAAACCTAGTTTGTTTATTATGTGGCTCTGAAGGGACCATTCTATAAAAAATGAGAAAATAACCCTTGACAGATGCTGCCCTCTTTTGTTGCCTGTTGATGTCTCTCAGCCGAACATACAAGTTTTCTGTGAATAGGGTTACTTCTGCTAGTGGAACATACAGACTTTGAATATTCCCATAGAACACCAAACCCATGCTCACTATTAACACAAGGGACATTTCCAGCTTCCATGTTTTTCTCAAACTGTGCACTTTTTATACAGCACTTAATAAATATAGGCTATAGAATATAAAGGGATGAGCTCTGCAGGACAGTTACATTTCAGAATAGGCTTTTAATCACAGGGTCACCTGACATGGAAATAAAATTACAAACACAATTATATTCCTATTGAAAATATTAATAAATAGACAAAAGATTAATAAATAGATAAAATTATTAATAAGTTCCCTGATAAACTAGTGGTTAGGGCGCAGCTGTCACGGTTGCGTGAAGGGCATCCATAAAACACGTGCCGAAATGTCAACATGCAAAATGGAGTCAACATGCTGTGGCGACCCCTAACTGGACACAGATAAAAATATTAATAAAGTGACAATGTACTGCTATCTAATATAAAGGAACAAGCTCTTTGCAGAACAGCTGTTTACACATTTTAGAATAGGTTTGGGGCCAACAGGTCACATGGAAGTTAAGATATTTCTCTTGAAAAATATTAATAGATAGGTGACGTATTTAAATGCTGTTAATTGTGTAGCAGGCCTATTAACCAAAAAATGGAACCCGAAGCATCTGCACTTCACTCGAGTACAGATGAGGCAAATATTGTATTTTTGACTCTGCAACATTTATTTGATAAATTTAGCTACTCGTTACTTTTCAAAACCAGATCGATACATCAAATAATCAAAAGATATTATTGATCCCTGCTTTTAGTTAATTAAATCATCCGAGTACCTCTTTGACCCAAATCAGCATGTAGGCTTGTTGACAAACAGCCTATACAGTTAATTTGCAGACGGTCCCTAACTCGGTGTGGTCCAGACTCAGAGGTCCACGCAGAGACACCGGGGATGGCTCGGTGCTGTCCCGGTGCTCTTTGGAACCGAGTGCCCCTTTTTTTTCTTCTAATGTTCGCGCTTAGGTTTTTGAGTAGGTCACTTAATTTTCGGGTGTATTTGTGAAAGGGCAGACTAACTGATTTCACGGCACCATGGACAGTTTGAACAGGATTAGTGGAGTCGAAAACAACATACACAGCCGGAACCTTTTTACCGAGCTCCATGAAAGTGTCGAAGAAGCGGACACAGTGAACGACACGGTGCCGAGGCCACACCCTCGACAGGCTACAAAGTTTACGTTGACGCTAATGTGGAAAACCTTACCTGTGCTGGTCAAGCTGAGGAAACGTGGACGGTGTGGAGTCGGTGAAACGCCTCCTCCCGCAGACCTGCCCCGTCGAACCCACTCCCTGAAACCGCCTCTGACAAATCTCTGCTGTGTGAGGCCTGAACACGATCGGCTGGCGAGGTTCTGTCGGTCTTACAAAACGCTGGAATGTCGCAATTTCCCAAAATACAAATCTTCTTCTCCTTTGTGGACAGAGGGCTCGGTGGTCACCCCGTGGCGACATTACCTTTTCACTCCCTGCTGTAACTAGAGGCTATTACATGTCACTTTATTACAGCCATAACTAGGATGCATCCAATTTGAAGCACCTTTTTACAACCCAGTGACACTTTACATGGCAAATACAATCACATCTGGTACTAAACTGCTACTAGTAGTGGTGGAGGAAAGTATTCACATCCAAGTAAAAGCAGTAATATCACAAAATAGTCCTGTATTCACAATGACAAGCACAAACGTAGGCTACTGACAACAAAATGTACTTAGAATATGAAAAGTAATTGTACTCATCATACTGAAAGCCCCCCTGTCAGTGTTGTATTATTATTTTATAGTCACCGTGAAGCTTATTTTAACTAGTTTTTATACTTACAGACTATAATATACAGTATAACAATACACCATTATAAACGTATGATTTTTACATAAATCATTATAATAGCTGTCAAATAAACGGGGAGCAAAAACAGAGTATTGGCATCTAAACTGTAGAGTTGGCTATAAAGCAGCATGGGATGCAAATGCTCAACAAATATCTGAATTATATATTATTAAGTATTGTGCATGACTTAGTTACACTTCATACTAGTAGCAGCAGAAGTACGGTACAAACAAATATGACTATTACTGCTCCGACTGTTACCGGGGCTGCTGTTATTAGAAATGCAACCAGTGGTGGGAAATAACTGAGTATGTTCTACTACAGACAGTAAATGCTGTATTTCTTTCTATACTGCATTTATTTGAGATACCCCCCATGATAATATAAATATGTGTATTATTGTTTGTTTTTCTTTCTTATTGATTATGTCATGACCCCTCAGATTTTACTCGTCGACCCATCAGTATTGCCACGGTGACCAGCTGTAACAGCAAAAGGCTTGATGCACCGGTAGTAATAATATTCCAGTGCTGTTTATAAAAATGTGTCAATCAAATTGGGTATTTTATTGCAGAATCAGTGCTTTACTTAGGTACATTTCAGTACATTTTGTGGTTAATATGTATTTATTTTAAAGTAATTTGTTGTCAGTATAGTAGAAAGTATAAGTTCTTTTTCTCGAGCACTGTAATTAAGTGTAAATGTGAGGTACCTGCACTTTATTTCAGTGTTACCATTTTACTTCATGCTGGGACTTCACTACAACCACAATATTGTACTTTTCATGCCACTACATTAATTTGATAGCTTTAGTTACTTTACAAAATCAGATTATTATTACAAAATACAGTATAAGACCTTACTGATCCCAGCATGTAAAGTACTTTATATGGTAGTTACCAGCTGCAGCACTAAAGTGATCAACACAATAAAACACCAGTGATTATAATCCTACATCACAACATCCATTTTCCATAATACTTTTGGTAATTGAAGTATATTTTGATTCTAACTCCACTGTCTGCTTTAATAGTAAATGTAAAATACTTCAGACACTTGGTTTTCCTGTGGCACCTTGTCTTATAAAATAGAGAGAAGTGGGAAATAAAAAAAGAAAAATAACTCAATTTAATTATGGAAGATTTATGCTTTATTTATAATTGACATGTCGCTTGTTGTTTATCCTGTCCAGACTGTTGAGTGCATCAACATTTAGCCTTGCCATGCTGTGGTTTATGTGTACTACATGTAGTGCGTGGTGAAGACAAGACTGTGGTTGAGTACTGTCAGGGGCTGTGTGCATCCGACTGCGTGTCTGCACGGACGACCTGTAATTCCCAGTCCCTCCACATGGGGGCGCAGTCAGCAACAACTGCTGACAGCAAAGACAAAAAGGAGCCTTTTCCTTCATTCACGTTTTAATATAATTTAACAATGTTCTAGCGCAAACTTTTACAAAACAAAGTTTTTTGTCTTTCTTACAGATTCCGTCTTTTGAGAGCTGAATTGTAGCTAATACCAACCACTCAAGGATGTAAATGTCCTTCACCAAACAAAACCTTAGTTGTTTTTTATAGTCCTGCTGTCTTGTGAGTTCATAATGACCTCATCTCCTATGATGTCACCACCTTCCTCTCCGCCTTATTGTTTTGCTGTGAATCCTCCAAAACCTGTCCGGAACCGTGTCTGTAGTTACTCTGTACAGTACTTTGGCATGTCGTGCTTTGCTGTCTCTCTCTCTATGGATGATTTCCTTTCTCTCTTTCTCTTAGTGAGCGTCACTCGCCACTTGCTCTAAACCGTGAGACTCGTACCCCACAGATTTGAGCGCACCACTGCTCTTCATCTTCCCTCTGTGGTTAAAGATGTAATAAACCAGAAAAACCACCAGCAAAATAAAAAAGACAGTAAACACTATTATCCCAACCAGAGCACCCACTGTCATGCTCGGGGTCGGCCTTGTCGGATCAGGATGTGGCAAGACTGTTGTTATGGGGATGCATGGAGTTGTGGAGCCCCCCAACTCTCCATCTGTGTGCGTTTCATCCTTTACGCACTTCCACTGCCCAACTAGTGTATATCCTGGACGGCATGTGCACACATAGCTACCAAATGTGTTTTTACACTGTTGATCACAATAATTGCCCCCACACTCGTCAATGTCTATGCAAACCATACCGTCGTCTCTTTCATCTGATATATAACCATCAGGGCAGTAGCACACTTCGTCATCATTCGGGTCGCACTCCGCGGCGCATTCCTGTTTTCCGCAGTAAAGCACACACTTACTCGGTGACTCTGGATCTACTTTATATCCAGAATAACACGAGCATTTGTAGCTACCAGGAGTGTTTATGCACATGTGCTCACACGGAGCGGACATGCACTCGTCCTCATCGATGCACTGGCTGCCTGACATCTGGTACCCATCTTTACAGACGCACGCAAAGCTGCCTAAGGTGTTGACGCACATCCAGTTCTTCTCTGGACACTGCCGCTTGTCCGTGCAGTCGTCTATGTCGATGCACGACCTGCCGTCCTCCGCCAGTTTGAAGCCCCGGTCACACATGCATGCGTAGGATTCTTCGTTGTGGTAGCAGGCGTACTCGCAGCGCAGGGCCAGGCACGGGTCCTCTGTGGCCAATTCACAGGTGACTTTATTTATAAGGTTGACGGTTAGTCCCGGCTGGCAGTAGCAGGAGGGGACTTGTTTGGGGTTCACTGTGCATTTGTAATCACACCCACCTTGTAAAATCTCGCAGCTCCAGGGCCCCTGCAGCCATTGTCCAGAGTCGCAGACGTATTTATTCTGAGCTGGCATCTGGATAGCGATACTTCCAGGGGGCAACGACAGCACATCGTCGCCCCCAAACCCCAGTGGGGTTTTGTAAGTGAAAGACGTGCCTTCTGTAATCGCTAGACTCTTGCAGGGGTCAGTGAAGCTGTGCTCGCAGAGAAACCCGGCCGCCTGTTCGCTGCATGGCTCCTGGATCCATTTAAACTCACTCTGCTGGGAAACTGAGATGCAGCGATGAGAAGAGCAGCTGCTGTTAAAACTTGGCGCCCAGTTGGAGAAGTCACTCTCACTGTCCTTGGTTACCCACTGGAAGCCTTTCAGCTCTGAAGTGGCGTCAGGACAGCCGGTCGGCAGATGTAAACCGATCCAGAACCGCCCTGTAACGTTTCCCAGCAAGATAAAAAGAATATCATGCGATACAGTGGAGCGCACTGTCATTAAGTGACCACCTCGATCTCTACATTGATTCCCGGCGGTTGTGAAGTCACTGGGATCTTGGAACACTGTGTAACACTGGTTCTCGAGGCAGTATCCGTTATTCGGTTCCATCCGGCCGTCTCTCCCCATCAGGAAAACCAACACCACAACATACAGCCTCAGAACCTCCTCCATTTTGAACCTCGGTTGTGTCCGTTTAAGTTCTCATGCGTTCCAGCAGTCTGCAGGCTTGCTTGTGTGATAAACGGTTTAGTTCGCATTTATAACTTTCCAACTCCATAATTTCCCGGCAGAGGAAGGAAGTCGCTATTAATCAGCCTGCTGTGCGGCTCACTGTCTCTCGACAAACTTTCTCCTCTGTATAACGGACCACATCCCAAATTACGCACGACTTTTACGCACATACGCACCGAGGCCACGCGCAAGGGGCAACTACTGTACCCACCGCCCCTTTGTGCAGTAGCCCCTCCCAGCTACACTCCAACACAAAAAGTCAGGCTGTATTTGTGGTCGTGGTTAGTCTTTACATCCAGTCTTACTTGAAAAGAGTGGACAGTTTTTGACGGGTGACATAATTACACTTTGCTGCACATTTTCTCTTGTTTTAGGCATTTCTGTACACGAGCATAACTATGTTTGCAAACGACAGGATAAGGAAGAGGATAACACAATGAATCAATGGGTCAACTGAGACAAGAAATCAGCACTGAAATGCAGAATGTTTTGCTTGTTTTCAGAAAAGAGCATGTGAGTGTTTTGAGTATTTTAGGAGTATTTGTTTCCATTGGTAAAGACCAATATTTTCTATTACACTGAGTCCACTCCCTTATTGCAGCAGCCAACTCTAGGACTACAATGTACAGTATATAGTACAAAGAAACAAGGGACAGAAAGGGGTGGGAGTCTGAAGTTAGTTCTACTACCATAAGCCTTATTTCTTTACAAACCAGTGAAAGTGTTCCGTTTCTGCCCCAGTTGCTCTTCTGGCACCTCACCACACTGTGGTTCTCACACTTCCAGTCCAAGTCCCACTGTCTCTATAATGTTGCTTATTCAAACATTGCACTCAAATTACTGTGATTGGAGTCAGTTAAATGCTTACAGCAGCATATAGTAATATAAATGCAAAGTGAAAGGAGCTTTTCCTGAAGTTCACAGCGACTCTGCAGTTCAACTATGGAAAAGGAACAGAAAAGCAATTTAATCAACAACATCATGCAGAGAAACACAAACAAATAATGGAAAACAATCAGAACCCAACCCTCTCTCCAACTTTTATTCTTTTCACGTAAAGTGTAGTGACATTTTCAATAACAAAAAAATCCAACTCTACAACAAGTGTGAGGTTGCTATAAGCCTGTTATACAGACGGAGTGGCCGGGCATATCAGAAGAAGTACACATGTGTTTCCATTATATAAGTAGTTATATCAGCACAATTTTACATTCATGTTAATCTCTGAAGACCAGTCTTTACAGTAAAGTCAGTAGCATTTAACCTCATGTTAATGCCAGTGGTAGTGACGGAGTGTACAGTCAGTACACATCTCAGCATTATCTGTGGTAACAGGAGACTTTTTCATCAGTTTACTATGAGTGCATCAGTCTCATACTGTATAATGCGTTTTTGGCCTGTAAAATGAGTTTGCACAGATCACGCTACAACAGTTTAACTTTCAGTTAAACCTGTGTGAGAAATTTGGGATTTTCTCTCAAGTATCAATTTCAGAGAAATCATTAGTCGGCCAATGTGCTCTGCATTTTAACCATTTAAAACAAGCCTTGCAGTTATATCACTTATTTTAAAGAAGAGCGTGTGGACAAACTTGTGAGTAAAAATGCTCCTGGGTTGTTGCTGTTTTAATAAAGGCCTCAACACACGCCGCCACGCATGCGTCGAAAACAGCCGCTAACATCCTAAAAGAAACAACAGTCAGCTTCAAAACTACATTTTGAGTGAACATCAGTCACAGTCAAACATTGTGTCCATGTATCCAACAAAAAAAACAACAAATAAAGAGAACTACCAACTACTACTAAGAGTTTAAAGTAATTTTTTAAAAATCAAATGATAGAAACGATTTAACACATAGTTCACACATAAAACATGTATTACAACCAATATGTAGAATATAACATTATGTCAAGCAAAGACCAAGGCACATTTAGTTTTCCTACATAAAGAATGAGTCCATTGGTGTCTTGTCTAATTAGACAGCAGCAAAGTGAGATGAAACAAAACTGGTTCTTTTATGAGAGAATCGGACAATAACAGAAACAGGGTTCCTATTGCTGCATTGGTAACACTTTTGAAGAGGTTGCAGTATAATTAGAAAATAAATGACTATACAACATTTTAGTACCATAACTATTGGATGTAACAGCATCTTAATTTGTTATACTTTACTCCAAAAATTGGCCTGGTTGAGAAGGAAAAGTCAACTTTTTTCATCTTAGCAACAAAATGCTCTAGTAAATAGTAATGGGCAAATATGCCCCATCTCCATCTAGAGATCTATTAAATACACACACACACACATACACACAGCACATTCGGCTTTCAGAGGTAAACTGTTTCCTATTAACACTATGGAGAAGTTCCATAAATTTGCAGACTGTGGGGAAAGGAAACGATGTATGATATATGAGAGAATGGTTGAATGTCTTCACTGGTGCCATTACTGTCTCTGCAAGTCACTTTTAAACTGTTTGTCGAAGGATAACCTCTTATATGTATCTGTGGTCACCTGCTGCAGATAGAAAATATCCATATCTGGATGTTTGAAGGAGGAGAGATCAAATCTGCCGCAACGTTTAACCATGTTTCGGACCAGGACACAGACCAGGGCTGCACACAGGAGCAGGAACACAGTGATGCCCAACACGCTGCCGGCCTTGATATAAGAGGGCACTGCAGGTGGGTGAGCGGGGGCAGGTTTGGGGTGTGAAGGAGCTGAGCTTGATCCATCCTTCACATCATCTGGTACACACTCGTAGTCGTTTTGCAGCTTGAAACCCTCGTCACACAAACACTTAAACCCACCAAAAAGGTTTTCACACTTGTGTTCACACTGCGTCTCAAGCTCACATTCATTTATGTCAGTGCAAAAGGCTGTGCCGTTCCTTATGTCTACGATGTAGCCATCAGGGCAGTAGCACTGCTGCATGTCCTTCTTCTCCAGCTCGGGGTCTGGGATGCATTTAGCCAGACAGTCTCTCTCGGGACAGTATAGCTCACACTTGGTGGGATCTTTGGCTGACACCCTGTGGCCTTCCCGACAGTAACACCTGTAAACTCCACTAGGGTTATCACACATGTGCTCACACATTTCACAGATTGAAACGTCCACACACTCTCCACCCTCTTCAACGAAGCCATCTTTGCACTTGCACTCAGCCTTTCCCTGTATGATCTCACACTCCTCACCCTCACCTGTGCACAGGTCCTCCTCTTCGCACTCATTCACTTCCACGCAGCTCTTCTGGTCAGCCGCCAGCCTGTAGCCTGTATTGCACTTGCACACGTAGGAGTTGCCCTCCTGTTGGCACTCCTGCTCGCAGTCGGCGCACGGGTCTTTGGTGCAGGTGATGTTGTTGGGATGGAGAGTCTGTTTTGCGGGACAGATGCAGGTGCTTGTTGTTGTAGAAGTACAGGCGTGCTCACAGCCGCCTTGCATCACCTCACAGCTCCAGGGAGCTGGCATCCAGGTGTTCATGTAACACACATGTTTGGAGTCCAGATATTCAGCGCCAACCTTTTCCGTTACAGCAATGGTTCCTGGTGGAAAGGTTTCAGAATCGCTCACCTCGAAACCCATAACCGTGTTAAACCTCACTTGTGCACCTCCAACTGCAGGTAAGCGGTCGCAGGGCTCACCTAATGGATATTGACACAGAAATCCATCCAGTTTGTCACTGCACCGCTTCCACAGCAGCGTGGGGCTGCCTCCCGTCGTCAGGGAGATGGAGGGACAGTTTTGCAGACCTGCCGCAGCTTCTTCTACCGTCCCGTTGTTGCTGTTCAGCCAGTAACTACCCCCGAGCCCGCTTAACAATCTGGTTAATGTCTTCTCAGCGTCTTCCACGGTGAACACAAATAACTCTCCGTCACTGCAGCTTTTCTGCGCGCCTGGAAAGTCTTTGGACACTTTGAAAACCGCAAAACACTGATTCCCGGCGCAATGTCCGTTCTGAGAGAGGACCATTTCCTCCAGTCCGCAGAGAAAAAGCACACAAACAAGCAGCACTTGTGTTGTAGGAATCATGATGCCGATGTTAGAAAAGCTGCAGATTGAATAAACCTCAAAGGTGATATGGCGACTGAAAGCTGAACATAGCCTGCATTTATAAAAGTCCCCAGCGGTTTTTTTTTTTTAAGAGGAAGGAAGTTTCGTCCTGGCCAGTGGTCTAAGCCCCGGTCTGTTTGCTCAACCCACACGCTGTCCAAAAGGCTTATCTCAAGAGACTGGCCCATCAAAAAATACATTTCTACAGCGCTTACGGGCACATGGACGTTTAGTCAGATAAGAAATGAACACACACTCACCATCTTTTCCCATAAGTGACTGTTCTCCTTGTCAATTTAGATGATCAAATTAAAAAAACGAGTCTCACATGAAAAGAAATCTATGAAAACGGGAATATTTTCAACAAATACATTATTGTAAAATGCACCATAATGACACCGTTTGACATTTAAAATAACCCCTTTTAAAAAGCTAAGAATCTTTTCTCTAGACAAAATTCCATGAACCCAGTTTGGCATCAATTCATTATTTAGTTGATTGGGTGCTGGCAGCTATGGAAGGTTCTCAGCAGTTCAGTAAAGTCAGTTATTAAAGTCAACTTCCTCTTGAAGCATGAAGGAAAAAGATGATGGATGACATTTTGCATACACATTAAAAAGGAAAATTGATTTAAGGATGGCCCAGATGACTTTGCTGAATGTGAAAGTGGTCGCTCAGAATGACAAAACCACAGAACATTATGTAGCTGCCCTCAGCTAAACGCAGCCTTTTAGAATCTTTTAGTTCATTGTTTTGGTATAAACTTTACTGGTTTAGTTCAATCTCACTGCACCCTTTAGCTTTATAAACCTACTGTATGCAAGAGTCCTGCATCAGGTTGGGTATCAACAGAAACCCACAAAAATGATGTGTAACAAAGTTTACAAAGAGGAAGACTTAGATGAAGCATATGAGCAATTTTTAAATATATTTAAGAAAGTATATGACAGGAACTGTCCTCATAAGCAGTATAAAAACAAGATGAATTACAGTGGGAAACCGTGGATGAGTAAGGGATTACAGAATGCATGTAAAAAGAAGAATGTGTTATATAAGGAATTCATAAAGGACAGATCAAAGAAGGTGGAAGAAAAATATAAGTCATATAAGAACAAATTAATTGAGATTTTGAGGAGATGTAAGAAACTATATTACTCTAAAATATTAGAGGATAATAAAAATAACATGAGAGGTACTTGGAATATATTAAATAAACTGATTAGAAACAGTACCAGCATGAGTAACTACCCTTAATATTTTATGGATAATGACACACCGGTCAATAGATTTGAGGATGTAGTTGATAAGTTTAATAGGTTCTTTGTGAATGTTGGTCCTGGTTTAGCAAGAAGCATTTGTACAGATGATACATCCGTCACTATAAATAACAATACAATTGAAAGGAATATGTGTTCTATGTTTCTGAAGCC